TTTTTTTTTTTTTTTTAATTACCCAGTATAGACTATAGAAGGTTGGCTTTCTTCTGTTCTTAAAACTGTTTATGTGCTCATTTGTTTGGTGTAATTTGTATTATTTAAAAATCAACGGGAATATGTCTACTGTATTTTCGCACTATTGACCGGAGGAAATTGGCTCCTTATAGACAGGGGCATACGTAGAACTTTTTGTAAGTTGTGTCGTATCTACATAAATAAGAAAAATAAATAAGTATTATTTAATATCATTTTTCACAAGTTGAAAGCCTTCTCCCAATGGTTTAGTTGAATATTACTGCAAAGGGAGGTGTAGGTTCAATTCTCCTTAGCCTCAAATTTTAACAAAAATGTTCGCTCAAAGATCTTCAAAAAATAGAATGTCTAGGTCCAGATTCCAACCTATGACCTTTACAAGCCCAAATACGAGCTTGACGAGCAGACCAAGAAGTACTCTCTACCAGGAAGTGGTGTCATTGCTATATCTTGCTTTATTTTTCAGAATATTAGTATAAATATTTAATATTTTTTCCAGCGACACCGCCTCCACCCATGTGCATCCGCCCCTGCTTCTAGAACAAACTAGTAGAAAGAGCATAATATGAGTTGGATGCATATTCACACCTAGATGGGTTTTAAGCTTGAGGCTTGTAGTCTTAAGCACTTCAACATTAACCACTAGACTAAGGCCTCTTTTCATCAGTGAAAGCTGCTTTTTCCTAATCAAGTTTCCTATTACTCTCCCCAATCCAAAATGATGGCAAACTGTTCTTTTGTGTGAGGATATGAATTAGCGGGACTAGGCTCGATAAAGAATTGACTTTCGTTGTGACTTCTAAATTCAATACAACTAGAAAAAGTATGTTCTCACAGCAACATATTGTTTTGGACAACTGGTTTCAAGGAACCTCTTCTATACTAATATTTTCTGACTTGTATTGCCTTTCTAAAAAGTAGATTTTAGGTGATTTAATGAGATTGTGATGCTTCCTGAAACTATGATGTGTTTCTGATCCCTTTTCTTTGTGCTTGTCAACTTCTTTTTTCTTTATAGCGAATCAACTAGATGTCATCTTATACTCAAATTGTTTAGATACTCGCCTTATTATTACTTATCAAAGAATAGTTAGCTTACGCACCCAAGGGTGTAGCCTAGTGGTCAATAAAGTGGCCGGAGCACCATGAGGTCTCAGGTTCAAACCCCAGCAGAGATAAAAAATACTAGGTTATTTCTTCCCAATCTGTCCAAGCCTTGGTGGTAGAATTACTTGGTACATGTTGCTGGTGGGAGGTGGCAGGTATCCCGTGGAATTAGTCGAGGTGCGCGCAAGTTGGGGCGGATACCACGGTTATCAAAAAAAAGAATAGTTAGCTTACCTGATTTCGCAATCCATTAGTTTGCATGAATTTTCCAATTTTATGTCTTGAGTTTACCAATGCACAAATTATACTCGGGATTGATGTTGCTAGACATTGGGTAGTAATGACCTTTAAACGGATATAACAGATATGTAACAGTGTCAAACTGTATATGGTTAATTCTACATCTTAAAAGCTTAGACTAGCATATTTTGCTTTTCTATGCTGAAGGATAACCAAACAATAGATTTTCTGCATCCCCGTACATTGTTGTGGGAGCTGCAAATTATTTTATCATGTATATATCTCTTGAGCGAAATCTATATTTGGGTGTGCTACCTGTTCAATAAATTCTTTATGTGCACAGGCCCTGCTCCTTTTGATCTTGATACTACGTCTCTGGTTGAAATTTCCAGTGCCGTAGGGTAAAGGTCCTGCCGCCCCCGTAAAATAAACTTTTTTCCGACTCGCAAGAGCTTGAGTGTCTGATCCATACATACATTTCTGTATATATCAATGTGCTTGTGATTAGTCCTTAAAAAGACTTTTTTAGGAACTNCAGCATTAATTGACGCTCAAAATTCTTTAGGTAACGCCTAATTCTTCAAAAATCCTCTTTAGCCATCTTAGATATGAAGTTAATGCTAATGTATAGGGGGTTCCTGACCTTGAGAGTGTTTGGATTAGCTTTTAAAAAGTAGCTTATAAGCTAAAAGCCATAAGTTGGTAATACCCAACTTTTGGCTTTTTTTTTTGAAAAATAATACCCAACTTTTGGCTTTTGGCTTATTTTTGTACTTTTCATAAAAGTATGTGCTTTTAAGCACTTTTTATCATTTCCAAACTGAGGAGCTCAATACACAGCACAAAGTTATTGCTCGCTAGCCAAAGATAGTATAGTTAAATTATCGTCTCCACAGGGATGAGATTTAAACAATGCTCTAGTAATTTCTGGTTTAGCTGCTATTCAGGATGATCAAAACTTGATTTGGATTGGTTACGAACTATGATTAACTACTAAAATAAAGCAATTGACAATTGGCTGCAGAGAATTAGAGATTAACAGAGTTGGTTTCTTATCAATGTGAGGAACAAGGGTCATGACATGGTAGGTGCAAGATGGCTATTTGGGATTTAACTCTAGTTTAATTCACTCTATTGTTCTAATGATTCTCACGAATTCACTCGATGATTAGTTCAAACGTGTAGTCAAGACTCCTCTCTCAATTAAATCTTAACTCTACGAGATGAACTAATATAAGCACTGTGAAAATATGCAAGCATGCGTCAATGGATTAGTCTTCAGGAAAACGTCTCTCGAATATTCTCCTAACTTGATTTAATCAACAATTCACAAGCTCTTTCGATTACTTAAGAGAATCATTGAATTAAATCAAACAAAATAATGCAAAGATAATCGCCAAAATATTCCTCTGTCGATTAAATAAACCGGTGAATAAAGTTGCAACAATTCAAAGCTCCATAAACAAATTCAAGCAAAGAACTAGAGTTAAAATCCACGAATAATAGCAAAATACCAGATCCGTCAAACCCTAAGGTAAACTGCTCCATAATCATGGAAGAAGTCATCACAATTATAATTAAAGAGTAAGAAAGCATCAATCTAACGTTACAATCCAAACTCCCGTATTAAATTGATGGAAAGATGATGAAATTCTGTGTCGTGTAGCCTCTAATGCTCTCCCAAAGTTTCCAAGGTCAAAAGTCCTCTAACAATCGTGTTTTTGGTATATTTATATCATGTAGGAACGGGCCCGGACGAAACTATACTTTTCAAGCCGAAGTAGGAGAAATACCCAGTAAAATTTGTACATGCGCGGTGCATGGCCTGTGGAGTAGTTCAGAGAGTTGATTCTTACACTCTACAGGAATTTTGCACTAGTGCCCTGCGCCCTGCTACGCATAGCGCGACGCGGTAGTGCAATTTTCTCAGAGTAATTTTTGTTCTCACTTTTTGACATCCAGACTTGGTTCTCAGACCCCGAACGTGATCCCGACTTAATTTCTTGGGCTTTTACTCGGACTTCAAAGCTCCAACTTGTTCAAATTAGCTCCAAATTATCTTAATAGTTCGAAATCATTTTCTGCAAGGCATAAAACACGTAATAAGTGCAAATCACCATTATTTAAGCTCAGCCCCAAGTAAAATGCAGTGATTAGAGTGCAAACTATGACTAAAATATGGGTTTTGTAGCCTACCATCACAAAAAACTAGAAAAGTGCTTAAAAGCTAATAAGCACTTAAAATAAGCCAATCCAAACACCCTTTTTATAATGTTTAAGCACTAACTTTGTGCTTGACTGCTTATTAAAAGTTCTTATTTACCTGTTAAAAAAATGAAATGAATGCTACTGGATTCTTGAGCTCTAGTATCACATATTTTATGATTTAAACATAAATAGGATTGAATCTGGATCTTATGTTTCCTGGACAGAGTGATGAATTGTGTGTTTGTGGATTTCAAGGATGAAAGTCTGGCACATCAAGCGCAACAGCATTTGAATGGGTATTGTTTCTTTGGAACTGAGTATCCTGTTTGTGATCATCTTAGATAAAATATATTCAAATGAGCTCCTCTATATTTATATTTATCTTTGGAGATTAAGCAAGACTGATTGCCAAGTTTTGTGGTTGTTAGGGTACGATTTCTTGGCAAAACATTAGCAGTTGAACGAGCTAATAAAAGCATAGAGAGAGATAAATATCGACAAAGTGAACCTCGGATTGTAGAAGACTCTGTCTCTTTGATCAACGATGCTACTGCTAAAGAATTTGGTGGAGGATCTAGAAGAGGTCCTTATCCTGGCAGCGAACCCATTGCTGAAAGACTTGGGGTGGATTATCCATTTCCTCCTCACCTCGAGTATGTTTTCAGCTACTTCATGATTTTTTTAACCATCTTTTTAAATTTCTATCCAGATTTGGTGGATAAGTGGCTAGAAGTAGCTCCTCATTCTCTTTGTCCTGAACATCCCCTGATCTAAACATTACAACATTTCTCATGATTTTCTTTTGCATCACAGCTGATTAGCATCATCCCTGTATGCCAGATATTTCTCATGTCTGTAGGCATGCCAGCTTTGTTTGACTTGTAAATTATAGACTCTATTCTTGTTCTGTTTGGTATATGCATAGAAAACTAGAAGAGAAGAAGAAGCTAAAGTATTAAGAGGATTTAGACAGTCATTCTGCTTGATCTAGCACTTGATAGTTCTTTATATAGTTTCATATGTACTCATAAACAGTACCAGCTTCTGCTTATTCTTCATAATGCTGACTATCCTGCTTGTGATTCAGATATGTTTACCCCCCACCTGATGGGCATATACTTACAAATATTGTGAATGCTCTCATTGCTGTTCCTCGGTTCTACACACAGGTTATCTATACTATTTCCATTCTGCTTCTCAAATTCATATTTCTCGTTTCCTTGCTATTCGTCTGTGTTGTCTACTTGTCTATCTAACATTTTTTTATACCCATATTGTGGCATGTTATAGGTCTTACACTTGATGAACAAGATGAATATTCCAGCTCCATTTCGGATGGCTCTGCCGACTCCACCTCTACCAACTTCCCTATCTGTTCCACCTCCACCCCCTCCTCCACCTCCTCCAACAGTTTCTGAGAGTAGAATGGAAAATTTATCAAGTAGTGAATCAGAAATGGAGTCTTCAGATGAGGTAATATTTTCTATGCTGTTTGGCATCTGTTTACTCTTGAATTGAATTTGATAAATGCAGTTAACTGGGACTTTAAATATAATGTATAAAAGCTCAACGATACTGGGGAGCCGACTTAAATTTTAATGGTCTATGCAGTGTATCTCAGGCTTAAAGTTGCTGTCTTTGTTCCTTGTGTTTTCATTTTTCACCCTAAACTATTTCCTTTTGCTATTAGAGTAATGTTGGCGGGCCTAAACAAAAGCGTACCAGACGTGAAGCTATCTTAGGCCCTGCAGTTGACAAGGATGTTGTTCATGAAGCTGTTGGATTGAGAGCTGCTGCCTTGGTTCCTAAAGAGATGCCAGTAGTTAAGAAAAAGAACCCAATAATTCAGGTGATAGCCTTGCATCTCCAAAAGCCTCCTTCCCCCTTTGTTCTTCATTGAAGTTTGTGATACTACGTTGTTGATCGCTGTGCTTGCAGATTAAAGTAGCACCTAAGCAGGTACAGAATGAAGAGAAGGGTGACATGAGGGAAATATCATTGCCAGTGGAAGATAAAGAGAATGATAATAAACCTTTTGCGACCCTTGAAGAATTAAAAAGTGGAAGATTGCCCCCAGAAGAGATTCTGTCGCTTCCTATGTTTAAGGTATTGGAAGTTTCGGCATTTTACTTTTGCCCATGAACCGCTTGTGTGCAGATTGGATTTGCAGTTAGTCTTTTAAGTTTTAGCTGTGGTTCTGTTACTTGGTTGTTCATGTTTCTTATGATATTCATTAGTTAATTTATTAAGAGCTAAATTAAGTGGATCTAGGGCAAGGTCTTGTAATGGAATGACTTAGTTCCTTTAGGGATAGGACAATCCTTGGAACCTTATCCATAGAAGATAGTAAATGGCTGCAAAGGGCATACCTTTGAAGAACTTGATGCTGTGATCAAGAATGGTGACAAAGCGCCTGGGCCCGATGATTTCAATATGGTCTTCTTTCAAAACTGTTGGCACATCTTGAGAGAGGATATCTTTAAGACTTTGGAGCAATTTTACAATGAAGACTTTCTGGAGGAAAGTCCCACTGCAACTTTTTCTGGAATATCTGGCAGGAGAGAAATAACCAGGAATAACAGATGTTTTAATAATAGGAGAGAAAACATAGTTAATGTTAAATCTAGATGTTTGAAGAGTCTATACTTATGGTGTAGGAAAAACATTGTATCGGATATGAACTCTATGTTAGATCTTTTGCATTCCTTCAACATATACAACAAAACTTCCTAGATTTTACTTTTCTATGGTAGTTCTTGGTACCCTTATCGGATATTAATTCTTTGTTAAATCTTTTGCATTCCTTCAACATATACAACAAAACTTCCTAGATTTTACTTTTCTATGGTAGTTCTTGGTACCCTTATCGGATATTAATTCTTTGTTAAATCTTTTGCATTCCTTCAACATATACAACAAAACTTCCTAGATTTTACTTTTCTATGGTAGTTCTTGGTACCCTTTGATGAAATCTATTACTCCCTCCATTTCAATTTATGTAAACATATTTCCTCTTAAGTCCGTTTAAAAAAGAATGACTCCTTTTTAAATTTGGAAACAATTTTATTTGAACTTTCCGTTTTATCTTAATGAGAACTTTTTATAGCAATGTTATGGCATGTCTAAGACCATAAAATTTCAAAAGTCTTCTAACCACTCAAATGTGTATGTTTAAGATCTCAAGTTCCAAAAGTCTTCTTTCTTTTCTTAAATTTCGTGTCCAGTCAAATACGTTCACATAAATTGAAACGGAGGGAGTACCTTTTTTCATCAAAAAATCTAATTGCCCCCGGGACTTTGCCTTGTGGTAAGAGCGGATTAAGCGCATGTCACAGGTTCAAACCTGCCACAAACAATAGCTGGGTTATTAAGTTGAGCGTAACAGCCGGGCCCATTATTACCGACTTTCGAACCATGCACCACTGGCCTTCAGGGATTTCTCAGTTAAGAATCTATCCAATCCTACCCCATGAAGGATTTCTTTTTTGCCATGAAGGATTAATAAACCAACAACTAGGAAATGAATTCTTCTGGTTGTTTATTTCAGTAAATTCAAGTCACCAAAACATAATTGGCACCTAAGGGAAATTAAACTAGGTTTATCAAATCAGGCTCTTCTAAAGGATTTTGTGAGTTATGTGGACTCTGAATCTTTTTATTTTTTTATTTAATAAGGTATAGTATGTGAACTGTGAATCATATTACACCTTGCAGCAAAAGTTTTCAGGAACCAACAACTATGATAAAGTAATCAGACACTAAATCAGAGTGTAACTCCCTTTTTGTTTGTATTCAAGAATCAACCATTCTTCTTAAATTATGCTTTCATTACATAGTTTCTTCAGCAGTTCTTCTTGGACTGCATCATTAGAGGGGCAACAGGCATAGGGCACACTAAAATAATGCCAGCTTATCATATCTCATTTATAATTCTAATACATTATACTCTGTTACATTTACGTAGCACACTTTCCTTTTTAGTTTGTCTTAAAAAGAATGATGCCTGTCTATATTTAGAAATAATTTAACTTCCCATTTATACGTTTTGAGATGATCTACCGCCACACATATGCCTATGGCTTGCTTCTGACCACAAGGTTCAAAAGTCTTTCTTAACGTCATTACCCCATCAAACTATGTCACATAATATGGGACAGAGGGAGTAGTTATTTTTTAATTTTCTTAAGTATGCCTCTAGGGGTATCATTTCCCACCTAGTCTTATTGATGATGATTGACTTGATGAATGTTGGTCTGTATCAGACAAATGAATAGATTAATTTAAGATAGAAGTGTGGAATTTGCATGAAGATGGGGTACGAACTACCACTTTTGAAAATTAGGTATAACAGAAATAAAATACTAAAAATCTTGGAAAAGGAGTCCTATCTGTTTAACTTCTAAATACTAACTAGGTCACTGGGGAAATATGTAAATTAGGGATCCGAGTGTTCTGAGCAAACACCTGCTTTCCTATTTAATTTTTTTTAAGATTCTTAAGTGTAGAGGCTCTTGGCTAATTACTTTGAATTGCTTGAAGTTATGTATGTGGAAACCAAAAATGATGTCCATAAAGTTTATCTTTACTTCTATAGATGGCTAATCATCTCCATAAAACGTTCTTGATTTTGGGGAAATGGCAGGAAAAAGAATAGAACTAAACTGGTTGCTGAAAAATTGTTTATGAGCTTATGAGATTGTTCATCCTAAATACAGCAGACTATTTCTAGTAGTTTTTAACTGCTTAGCCTCCTTTGTGAGAAGAATTCACTTTTTTGTTGATAAGTAGGGTTTCGGTTTAGATTACTTAAGCTGACAAGTAGTTGCTATTAGGAATTCATTAAGATTGTATCTTTCCAGTCTATAAATTGTGCTATACTAATTCATTTTTTGTAATCAGTAAATCAAAAGTTTTTTTTTTATGAGCAAAGCCAAGCATTAAGTTGGTTCTTGGACATCCCCAGCAAAGCGCTGATGGATATTTAACTCATGGGCTTTCCTTTATGCAGAATTATTGTGCTGGTAATCCTTCTCCTATCTTGTACTTGAAGAACTTAGCAAAAGAAGTGGTTGTTGATGATTTTTACTTCATATTTGGTAAGCATTAATGTACATATCCATTAACAAGTTAAAACACGTTTTTCTGACTTTTTCCTCAGAGTTCCTTGTAGTTCAATACATCGACAACTTCTTTTTTTTCCCCTTCAAAAAAATGGATAACAAGAAGTTTCTTCAATGGATATATGCTACTTACTAGAAACTCATGTTTTTGCACTAGAACCATTATATTTCTTCTCAGCTATAATTTTTGCAGGATCTTTATTTGGAAGCATCGATGAAGCTAAATCCAGACTGGCAGTGAAGTTAATGCAGGTGAGGTTCATCTGTATTTCTCTACCTTTAATAATACTGTGAAAACTTGATGCTTTATATATCCACTATTTGATATATCTCAAATTCTTTTGGGAGTATATGCTGGAAAAATATAAGTAACACTATCTGAATCACCCTATCTGATCATCAGATGTGAGGTCTTGGCTCCACTTTTGTGACACATGGCTCCTCTGTTGGTTTGGTTGATATGTGATATACATGGGCCCAATGAGAATATGTGTGCTTCTTAAAATTGTAAAGTCTTCTGTTACATAAAGAAAATTGTCAATCTGGCAAGCTGGTTACAGTGCCAGTCAACTACCTAATGCCACCCATTAGGCTCTATTGGCATTGGCTGACAATAAATTGAGACTCTAAGCTCAGGAGTTTGAGTTAGAATGATAAATAGTTTGGTGAAAGAGAGTGATAAACCCAGTCAAAGGAAGATTGAAAGAAAGTTTATAATGTTCTTCTATCTATACGAAGGGGAGAATGACATCTCTTCGTGTGAAGCATCTGGAAAAATTTCCATTCGTAGATGAAGCTTTGATAGCTACTAGGTCTAGAGGGAAGTAATGAGTAGTACGTTCAAGTATGACTTCCATACCGAGGCTAGCGCGGTTAATGATATCACTGACTATCTTCGTTACAAGGCTTGAAAGGTTGTGTTACTGATATTCTCATCACATTTTCTTCCGTTTAATGTTTCTCCTTTTTCCTTAGTTGCTTCTTGATAACAAAAACCATGACTCTTAATGAATCAAACCCTGGTCTCTATATTTCTTCTGGAACAATTGAGGAAGATTTAACTGAATTGATGACTTAAATGGTGTGATGCACTTTGTACAATTAGCACGAACTCCCTGCTTGGTGAAGGGTATGATGTCAGGGGACTGGTTAAACATTATCTGACCCAGCAAAAACTCATTATATCTAAAGCTAATTTAGGGCCAATTTCATAAACTTGATGAGAAAATCAATTGGTAGTCTACTTCTCTATTTAACCATAAGTTTCACTTTCTTCATTCCAGTGCCATTTTGTTGGTCTGTTTCTTACCTGATCCAGACCACAAAATTGACGTACTCCTTTCTAGTTCCATATGTTCTGTTGCCAAGAGATAGATTGTCCTGTGGCATAAAAATTGTATTCTCATGTAGAAGGGTGAGATAGTAATCAGTACTCCCTTTCCATTGCTAATTTGCTGTTTATTCATGACTTAAATGCTGACGATTATCTGATTTCATTTCCAGGAAGGGAGAATGCGTGGACAAGCTTTTGTTACATTTCCCTCGGTTGAACTTGCTCAAGATGCTTTAGTATGTTGTTTAAATTTGCTTCTTGTCTTCGTTTCATTTCTTTTGATGGTCTATACGTAGTAAAATTTTCATTTGATGTATTTCTTAAAGTTACTGGTATGAGCCTGATTTTGGAATGACTGCTTATATAGGTTATCCTTCCACTGGAAGAAAAATATTTGTTCATGAAATTTGAAAGAACCTGATAAAGTTGGAGGTATTTATCTACAATGGCACAATAGTAATTCTCAATCTAATCTTAATTATAAAATAAAGAAGAATCATGCTTCCATTATTAAAATACTACTCCGAATCAAAGCTATTTCTTCCTCTCTATGATGCCTGCAGGTCAGTCATTTCCTTTTCATTGGGGAAAGAAGGGGGGAGGCCAGAAGGGGATAAAGTAAAAGGATGGTTTAGAAGGTTGAAAAACGAAGAAATCAATATGAAACATTAAAATTTATGATATCCACATTCCTCTTTTAAAGTGGCAGTGGATTACTTTTTAAACTGCTGGATCATGGAATCATATATCAAAACATAGCAGAATCTGGGGGAAACAAGAGGAAAAGCAGGTAATTTGGTATTTAGTTTTCATCCTGGGCAGCATGATTGTGAAGTAAACACCGCGAAAGTACTTATAGGCTTTTATGAACCTCTTTCAAAAATAAATCTCTTAATCCGAAAGCACCACATACGAGACAATCTTGTCTTTCACGGTTAGCATTTTGGAAGTCTCATTAGATGCAAATCTGAAATTTGAATAATATGACTTATGCTGACATTTTCAAATTGTCGTTTGTGGCGTCTCCCGTTAGCCTATTCAAATTTCACTAAGCTGATAAAATTTGCTGTTCAACTCCAGCAGTTGGTATTAAGGTTTTGTTCTTGGTGTACCTTAATGGTGGAAGTGCCTGCCTCAACAGTTCTCAACCTAATTCTAGCAAAATCATAGATTTATTCAGAAGGTGAGAAACCTTCTGAATTTAATCGCTTGCGTCAAATTTCCAATGGTTGTTTACTGCGAGATTATTCATGCATATGGTTAGTTTCCTGAAGTTGCCTAAAAATGTGTTATATGGATTGAAGGAAATCATTTCAGTCATATACTTCAATTTATATCACATCCAACTATCTAGAAATTAGCTGATGTTATGGGTGCTAAACATTGAATAGGTGAAGGTGTGTACCACACCAGATGATGCTTGTAAAAATTTAATGCAAAGAAGTGAATGACTGCAGAATCTGGTGAATGGGTATGTCTTTAAAGGCAAACCTATCGTCATTCAGTTCGGTCGTGATCCTGCTAAAGCAAAAACAAGCTAGAGAGAATAGTTGCAACAAGGGTAATTTAAGCCCTCAGCTCAACATTCTAAGTCAGGTATATAAGCACACGGTGAATTGCTTAGTTTGCTTTAATTATTGCTTTTTTTCGCGTATATCTTAAATAACCTCAATAATGTACCAAAGTAGTTATTCCTTAATCCATGGTATCTATATGCGACTCATCTCTTGTTTGTAATGAATGCAGTACGGTGATATAATATTTTGGACAGCGACTTCGGCAAAGCTGTGCTGATAGAGTTTCTTGTATCTAGTACTTTTGACTGTAATTGTTGCATACATCATTTTGGTTACTAGATAGCTTGTGCCCTGGTAACATTAACGGAGTCAGTCAAGCTAATGAAGATGCTGCTGAGGGAAGCAAGGAAAGTAGGGAGTCCTTACAGGACTGGAGAAGGTCAAAATATGGGCAGGCTGTCAGGTTTTAACTACACAGCGGTTTCACAAGATTTGTGTCTGGAGCCAAACACACACACAAGTTATTGTGATCACTACATTGAAGCACAATTGATATGCTGGAGCCTCAATGTTTGGTTGTTAATTCTTTGTTTATAGTTTATGAGAACAATGTTGTTTCAATGGTGAGTCGATAAAATAGGTGCGAGGACTCTCTGTGCAATGTAAAATAGTTGGAGCTTCAGTTTCTACTAGTTTATAAGAACAATGTGGTAAAATAGCTGTCATGAATTATTTAATCCCAAACTCCTACTTACACTAGAGTAAGTAACAAAAAAATATCCTAGTAAGTACTTGGTCGTTAAACACTTTAAAAAATTGGCGACGTTCTTTGTGATGTTGTCTATCATTTTTCTTTTACTCTTAGGAAAACTAAAAACAACTCTTTGTGGGAGATAAAGCATGAGTGTATACAGTCTTCATTCTGTCAATGAGGTTAATATACATAGAGAAGACAACAAAAGAATTTTTAAAAATTTCATATATAGAAAGGTAAAGGCTCAACCGTCGATTAAAGAATTTTGTTTTTGAGAATTAAGCTTACTCTTAATTACTTGGAGTACTTTTATTTAAATTTCTTCCCCAATTAAGGAAAACTTAGTTGTCTGGCTTCTACAAGGAATCCTGGGGTACTTTTTTCTTGGATAATAAGGTACAAACTCTCTCTTCATGTGGGTCGGACGGGTTGGCAGGGTGGGGGGTTATGCCGGACGGGGTCGGGCCATTTTTGGCTTCTGGTACACCGGAACCCGGCTAGCCTGGTAACTTGTTCACGGGTTTTTACCGGGTTCCAGCCCGGTCCAGTAGGGTTACCGTTGGGTAATTTTTTTTTTTGTTTGACCATTGCCAATGGTCAAATTCAAAAATTAATGTTGGCCAACGACCATTTTTTGCAATTTTAGCTATTTCGGCTTACCTCTTAATAAAATAGTCCCCCGCCCCTAATAATTGATAAAATATATTTTTAACCTTTTAAAAACTATAAATAGCCCCCATCATTTTCATTTTTTCTCACAACTTGCGTTCTTCTATTTTGATTCTATCTCAATTCCCTCTTGATTATTGAATTGCTTATTGCTCTCAAGTTCACAATTAATTATTATTTCAAGTATCAATTATTTACGGTAGCCACTACAAAATCACAATTATCAATTAAAGTGTGATATCCAATTTAGTGCGGCATCTGCACTCCCGGTACACTCATTCCGTCTCTTTCTCTTCTTTGGTGTTTATTTTTATTTTATTATTTAGAATTATTAATTTAGTTTTTTTAATTTAATTTACATAATTGATATCTTTAGAGCAGCCAAAAAAACGTGTACTAGTAAGGGTGGTACTAGTAAGAGTAAAAATACTAAAAGATCAAAAGGTGATACTGGTTCTTCTAGTAGCTTTACACATATTTCTGAAAGTTCACCTGAAAATTTAAATGTAGATTATGAACAACTTCAAGAAGATTATGGTATAGATGATAATTTAGATGATATTCAGTCATCTCATAATCTTGAAACACCACCACTTACATCTGGTACTGCTAGTTAAAATACTAGGGGTAGCGGTCGTGGTAATAGAGGTAGGCCTCCCCTCCCTATTAAGAAGAATCGAAGATTAGAAAGTAAGTGTTGGCAATTTTTTGAAAGAGTAGAAGAAGATTAAAATTATGTAAGATGTACTATTTGTAAGGAGGTTTATAAACATGAGACCGGAGGTAAGCAAGGGGAACGGGTCAACTTCGTAGGCACATGGTAGATAACCACCCTATTGCATGGGGTGTTGATGAAGAATCTTGCCAACAAAAACCTAATCCGGGTACTGGCGGTTTAATGGGTAAATACGATATATTGAAAGATCGAGAAGAATTAGCTAAAATGATTATTTTAGGTTGTTTATCTTTTAGCTTTGCTGCTTCACCATATTTTGTTACTTATATTCAAAGAATTTATAACCCTTTGTTTAAAGGTATTCCTAGAAGTATTTGTAGAGCTGATATCTTTAGGCTTTTTGGACAATATCAGACATATATCCGTTATTTGTTCGCTCGTCTTCCTTGTACAGTTTCTCTTACTATATTGGTCGTGATGTTAATGAAAATGAATATGTGACTATTACATGCCATTGGATATATGATAATTTTTGTATGCAAAAATGTATTTTTGCTTTAAAATATGATGAAAATCAAAGTCATACTGGTGCATTTATAAGTAATACTATCCATGAAGTTGATATATTTTACAATCTTGAAGAAAAAGTTGTGTATGTCATTTGGTAGTGCTTCTAACAACAATGCTACTATTTCACTATTAAAATTGCATCAACATCCACCACTTCTTCAAAATATTTCATGTGAGGAGTGCATGCAATATTTATAATTTAATTGTTAAGCCACCTTGAATTATTTAGAAATGAGATCAAGTCATGCCGGGTTCTCTTAAAAGGGTGGCGGCTAGGGTTTTCTCTTAAATCCTAAATCCTAAAAATGCAACTAAAGTGTAAGAATGCAATAAAACAAAAGATAAAAAATATTTTTGACATTTTGTGATTTAAGTTATTCCTAATTAGGCTAAAAATACAACTAAAAGTGATAAACTTCAGACGACAAATAGAGAAAAATTCTTTAAAATCCTACAAAAATCTAAACCAAGTAGAAAACTATTTTTGGGGGATTTTTTAGGAGTAATTTTTATGTAGGGCGAAAATTACGTGCTCACAGCCACAACTCGTAATATATAATTGTAAGTGAGCAAACGTTGTATCAACAAACTATCATACTCAAAACATGAATACAGACGGGCCATCAAGGCCTCTAACATACTGTACATATTGGACATGTGTCTACAAAGCCTTTAAGAGTATTTGACATCGAAAGAAGGTCGAGACAGGGCCTCAGCCTACCTATAAGTTTGTAGCAAAACTCCAACATGATGACTTGTAGACCAGCTGCACTCCGAATGAAGCAGAGTCTTACCGATCATTCATTTAATGCTAACCTCGTCTATTGTAAGGGCTCGTCAAATTGATTACCCATACCTGCAGGTATGAATGTAGCGTCCACAACAAAAAGGACTTCAGTACGAATATTATACCGAGTATGTAAGGCAGAACTCAAATATAACAATAAGCCAACATCAATGAGAGAGATATAAGAATCAACTTGAACCTTTGAAGTGCCACTGAGGGCCATGATATGCATACTAATTATACTTATATATTTAATGCCTCTCTTTGGGTCCATATTGTAACATGACTGACTGACCAACCGACTGTAGCTCGATGGAAAATACGTGTCTTCCCAATCGGTGGTAAATAACTATACATAACTGCCAACCCGGTGGTAACTGCCCGACCAGTCATAGCTCGGTGGTTAATGGGTAACTGCTCAATCGGTCGTAGCTCGGTGATAAATGAATGACTGTCTGACCGGCCGTAGCTCGATGGTAAATGCGTGAAGAGCCTTTCAGCATCATTAGGACATCTTTATCGTATGCCTCAATAGGGACTTATGAACATACTTAGACGTGTTTTGAATTACATTTCACAAGAATGAATAACGTAAACATCCTTAACTACCAAGAGTAGAACCATTTATGGAATAACATTATGTTTACGTTTCGTTACCTAAATCATGCCAAAAGAAGGAATGACTAGCCTTAACATACCTTTGTTAATAACGACTCAATATAAACTGCCATAGTACTTAAACATACATCAAGGTATTAGAACTATGGTTAATACCATGGAAGAACTTAAAACACATTTCTAAGCTAGTAGCTCTTTTACGGAGAATTGGGAAGCACTTCCCCTATATTTCCTCAATTCTCCGAATAAAAAATAAAAGCAACAAACAACATCATCAACAATATAAACAACTAATCCTATCCATTCAACCATCAACAACGTAAGAATAGTTCCAACAATTCAAACAATAGTACAACGAGCGGCAAGCTCGGTTTGTGATTAAATCACCATAGTTTTAAACTCTTTCTTCCTTCCATAATTATTAACGACATTAACCGCCGAATATTCAATCACCCCTACTAATTCAGCTACGATACAACTTTAAAATGACCTCATAACAGTCCCACAAGTTCATCAACTCAAAACTGATTTTCAGATTACTAAAATACGTTTCCGACTTGTCTTTTCTTTCAAACCGAGCAACCAAACCAACAATACATTATTAAGACTCTTACCATATAAACTATCCATGAATTCAACTTAAAAATAAGTTCACAACCATCCAACAATGACGCAACAACAAACAACATACTACTCTTTCAAAACTCGCAAGTTCTAGTCTTTACGATCGAGCTACAACTCGTAGAAGCTTAGATAAGAGAAAGAGAAGCATAAACTTACCTTGGACATAGTAGAACCCAATAAACCTAGTCCCTCGTCATCCAAACCAGTACCCCAACGCAGCTACAAGAAGGAGAAAGGGAAACTAGCAAGTTGTCCGGATTTTTCGGCACTAGAATCACTTTGTATCACCCGAAATCACCTAGGGTTTGTATGGGATTTTGGGGGGGAGGGGTTGCAGGTGTTTAATCTGATGTTCT